GTTTGAGAGAGACATTTTGCACGCTTGCTAGTACATTTCGCTAGTTCCTACTGAATTCCACGCCACATCTTGGTCATACCTGTTGGCTCTTGTCAAGTGTAAAAGATGATCTTGTTATTCCATGGCCTTATAGGAATTTACAGGTCTCCAATGTGGGCATCAGCAGCGAAGGGGACCAGCAAAATGCCCCCACCAAGGCGACTGTACCAGGAAATGTTTTGTCACTCTAGACTTCAACACATCTCTTCATCAAATAGGGGCAGGACACAGTGACTGAGGTGGGAGAGAATAAGGAGAAACAGGATTAGAAAGTACATAGTTGGACAGTACGAGAACAGGGTACACCAATGTTGGGTGAACCCTATGGGGGGTCACACCTGGTCAGTTGGGGATTATTTGGTTCTGCAGAAATTTCTGAAAACCATTAGGAGTTTAGCAGAATTCGATGAGGTAGCATATAAGATGGAAAAGGGACTGTATATACCAGAAAAGGAAATTTTAGAGGTCATATGCACCGGAGCAGGAAACCTAGGATGTCGTGCTGCAAGAGAGAGAGTTTGAGCGGGTGTTGTACTGACAGCGCCATCACCTATTCTGATGCTGTGCCTTTTAACCAATCAACCCTCACAGGGAATCAAGTGTTTCTTTGAACTAACCGTAAGCTAAAAACTAGGTGCAAACCCTATGTAAGCTCTATGGGACTGGGCAATGGTAGGAGGACTCGAATTTCCTAACCTTACAATTCAGAGGGACCTATAAGGAACTGAGAGAAAGACCGTGAGCGAAATATTTACCTTTTTGACTTTCATGCTTCGACAGGTCGACCTTCTCGTCCCACCCAGCTGCCGATTTGTCTTTACGGTCCGTTTGAACGCCGTACTTTCCACCAAATCCTATGGAATAGTCCTTCTGCGATGCGTGTGGATCCACTTTACCCTTGTAGTCAAACGACATAGCTGCCTGAAAAAAAGACTTGTTGAGCTGGAAAAAAAAGACTTGTTGAGCTGAACAGAAAAGCTACGTCAACTATGTGAAACTTTTCCAAACCTTGTCCATTCGGTCTGTCATTACACCAAATTTGCCGCCATATCCCTCACTTGGCTTCGGCATTTGCTCCAGTTTCTTCTCCTGCAAAACTTCATTCAGACTTTCCACAACCACGAGTACAACGATACCACTTACCTGCTGGATTTTATCCGCTATTAGGGCCTCCTGCCGGAATTTATCCATATTGAAATGTTCCTGGTGCCCTGAACCTTCCACAGTCTTCGCTCCCCATCTACTCGCTTTCTCGCTGATGTCATTCTGAATAATTTCGCTGGTATACGAAACGTTCCGTTATAAAGCGATGAGTAACGCACAATGAAATCAGGATCGGTTTCCCATTCTTCCTCCTCTACCGGTTTCGGCGCTATTGGTGGTTTTACGCCGACTGCCGCTCGCCAGGTTGACATCTATTGGCCTGTGAGTAGAAAAAACAATGTTACCACAGCAATCGACGCCAGTGACGAAAGAGATGAGTCACAATGAAAATCCGACGAGAAATGGATGAAGCGACTTGAAATGGTCGCAAAAAATGAGCAACTGCAACAATGCTTACGAAATGTTATCCATTATAGTCAAAAGAACCCCCAACAGTAACCCTTGCTGGGATGGATGTCATTCTGGAGACATCCGCTCGAGGTACATAGTTTACGTATCTTGAAATAGTTTTCAATTTTTGGCGTTTAATGTGCTCGAGGGGACAAGTGCCACCTGCCTTTGACTCTTCCTGGCCACGGCGAAAGCGAAAAAGCCGAAACATTAGCCTAATGATCTTTAACAATCGTGGATGATAGCACCACGACGAGGCTCAAACGATAATGATAGACTGATGGCCAACGCTAAGGACAAAAAGTGACGAATGTGACGGAAAACTCGTGCCTGGTATGGCGCTCCTCTTGTTTTCATAGCTGATGGGCGCTCCGATGTGCATAGTCAAGCGAAATAGATCGTGATGACAATAATATCAAAAAATTGATGATGAGTAATATGAAGACAATAAACTTCTACTGAGCAATTTCCCTAGGTTTTAGGAAAGTGAAACTTGAAGGCAGGTGGCACGATAATTCCCTAAAAACGAGTAGGATTGATACGCCTGGCAGCGATTTCCATGACCCTTGAGTAGACACTGCATAGCGGTTTTCTAGGGAGGTAACCCTCAAATGAGGGTCCCTATGCCAAGCTAGAACATATACCGACCCAAACGCCCGCACGCCGCCAGCCACAAAATGGACGGACCTTACCGAGACGCTGGTTTCAAATCATAAAGCGAAGGGATTAGTATGAAGCGGCTGCCGGTGCTGAATGGATTTTATGAGTACATTACATGAAGCTGTACCTTGCCAAAGCGGTACTCCTACGGGAAACTTGTCCGAAGATCGCTTCTCAAGAACGAAGGCCTTTTGCTTCGAGAGTTTTTGGACCCGTTTCACTTCGTTTTTCGGCCATTTTTCAAACTAGATATGTGCCCTGCTAAGCATTTTTCAGGCCTGAGCAAACCAAATTATCGTGTGCCAACTGCCTTTGAGCGGGTGCAGGATTTCTGAGGGCGAAAATTAGGGTGGACGCCTGAAAACTCGGTGCCTCAATAGTTGAGATGCCTTGCATAGTTATTCGTAGTTTGCTCAGCATTTGAGTAAAAGCTGAACGTTATGAGCCAAAAAGGCAACGAAACAGATCATTAGACACCTCCTTCAAAGCAAGCATAGCCCTAAAGGCTCGAATTTTCTAATATTTAGTAACTTTTCTATTACAATATGGTTCATTAACTTGACCTCAATGGGGTAGTTCAATATCCACTTCTCGTCTCTTTCCAGAATTTCCAAGGTGTGCAGAAGTAAAAGGTGCAGAGGTACACATCGCAAGTGGAACTACACATGGTCCGGGGATTATATCGTCAAGTAAGTCTGCTCGAGGGAGCTAAGTCTTCAGCTTGCCCAGGATTTTAGGTGCAAAATCTGAGTGGAAGAATACGAACGCTTACGTGGACATCAGCTGGCCCTCGCGTCAATGTATGCACTAAATAGGTCCTCAGAGAGTGGTACCAACTCAAGTAGCGCTCGAGATGCGTTGGCGCGTCTCAACAAGGATCGATCAAACGCCAATCCCAACGCTGATCAAAATGGGGAGATGTGACTGATTTCCAGCTAGGACGATGAGATATAAGCCTGGTATTACATTACTCACAAACGCGGCACGGCGTCAAACCCAGCCCCTCTGGCACGCCCCAGCGTCTATACAGAAAACTACTATTGTTGTGGCGCTCTCGAATCGTTGGCTTGAATTGCAGCAAACTGCTTCAAAGAAAGGATGTATTAATGAATGATGAAGCGAAACAGAGGCAGATCCTTCCGAGGTAAATGTAAAATGTTCTGTGGCAAAAGACCTCTAAAGACCAAACCAAAAAGACCAACGTAAAGACTTCTAATAAGCTTGCAGAAATTGAATCGAGTTGAACATTTGATAAGCATTTCTTAACTAAAGGCGATGGAAAGTTGAAGAAAGAAGAGACTATCTGAGGTGATAGGGAAACGAGAGAGATGAGACTGGTAGTGCAATGGTTCTGTGGTTACCTGATCAAAACAGAAAATAACATTGAATGATTAGCACGGAAGAAAACGAAGTCCACAGATAAATCGGGGGAGGGTTACTTGCAAGTACATTCATAGAAAATCCTGCCCAGAGCATGGTATGGAAACCGTGTTGTAAGACGGCAGCTTCACAGGAACTTTTTCCATACAAATGAGGGTGAAGAGAATGTTGATAATTAGAACATGCTTCGATAAAATCAAGGAATCGTGAGAATGACGGCAGCTATTCGCTCAAGATAGCGCTTGATAAGCCTGACATGACGGTTAATTGTGGTCTGGGAACTACATTCAAGCTACCGAAGTGACACGACAAACCCTCTAGGCATCAAATTCACTATGAGAGCGATTTTGATCGATAGTGTAGAACAGCTCTGTTGGAAAAATCAACAATACAAGGAATTTCGGATCAGTTCTCCAGCAATATTCCGGCGAAATGTGTTGCTAATCTCCCGCAGCAGATATATTCCTCAGAACTCAGTTTTCGATGTAGTTAAACACACGTTCATATTCTAGACATTGAGTCAAGGCGGTTCCAAGAGGGATGGTAATGAGCCAACGCGCGGCGTTTTCCTCCAATGGGTGTTTTGATTCCTGAACCGATCACTAACCGATCACCATTGTAGAGCAAGGCAGCCAGAGGAAGGTTCGCTCCACCCCTCCTGACACCGCCGCGACGTTACCATCTATAGGTTGGCATAGATCGTGAGTGCAGAGACGGCTGCCTAAAAATTACTTTATGAAGGAGTTCCGGCCCTAAAGTTTAACAACGGTGCTCTCCGAGGTAATCCGATTAAGAAGGTGCAGAGTACCTATGACATCCAGTTTCAATTTCCATTGTCTTCATTATAAGCCTACAGGGAAATTGTCTCTTACCTAAGTCCAAAGGCGAGCGAGAGGTTCGAGGTGGGTGAGTAGTCCTTCTTTGGCCAAATCGGCCTCACTGACGAGCGCCGAGGTTGAAAAAAAAGAAATTTTTTTTCCGGAGAAAGTGCAAAACAACCCGTTTCTGTTTCGAAATACTTTTTTGAGATTTCGCTTTCCTTGTCCTCTAATGAGGTAACAATCCTCATCCCTGCGGCTAGAAGTAAATGTCCAGTCATCCTTTTCAGCCTAAATGCTGTTCAACGTTGGAAAAGAAATCGAAGAAGTGTAAAGAAAGGCTACCCCCTTTAGCTTCGAGCTTCCATTGTGCAAAATTGGAAGTATCGGGCTATTGCACCAAAAGATCCCTTGATCGGGCTTATTTTCCCAGTAGAAAAAAAAGAACAAGAAAAACTTCTTAGTAATATCATAAAATTCAGAAAAGGCAGAGTTGTTATTGAAAAGCAAACGTGGAGCGGAGAGCTCCGAGCAGATAGCAGCGTGAACGATAGTACTGAGGAATGTCATATCATTTCCGACAACTTGTAAATCTGTTGAAGAGGAGGAACCAGCTTGGACTGTGTACGACAGCTGTGCAGCACTGGAATTTCACAAAGAAAACGTCAGCGAATAAGGATCCAGTACCAAACAGGACAGGTCGTGGATCCCGCAAGCGAAAAGAGGGTCGTGTTTTGGTACGCTGGGCGGGAAGGTTTGTATTTGAACCCAAAAATGTGGTTCTCTGTTGAATTTGCCTCGACTTTTTCCCGTTTTCGCGGGTGCTAAACCCACCCCTCCCCACAGCTACTCTCCTTCAAACAGCAGTTTTTTTTGACTGAATTCTGGGACATTTCTGGAAAAACTGCGAGAAAGGGGCTGGAAGTTGGGAGATCATAGGAAGATGGTAGGTAGGACTGGGTATGGGAAAGGGGCCATACCAGAGAGAAGAGAGGCGGTGGTCTTTTGCGAAAATTTCCCCCAACGGCAGGACGTGCCCCAACACTAAAGCCATTATTGACTATTCCTTAACTATTTCAACTCAACTCCTTAATTTTCATCAGAACTTACTAAACTCATATTCATACACCTTAAATTATCACACACTGTGAGCTGACCGTTTCAGAACCTCATTGATTATCTTACTGATTACAGCCAATAATCGTGCGGAAGTACCTCCAGGGCGGGTCATTCTGTAAGAAACACAAAAAAGCTTCGCTCAACGAGTATCCCAATTCTGTAGGGTTTTTCGAATGCCCCCCCCCCCACACTGGAATACTGCGTTGCGATTCCGCGCCTATATACTCCGACATCAACCTTTACGGTACAAAATCTTTTTCTTCAGGAAATCGTTGTTTTCCCAGATGTTCGCCGTTGACAGCGCTGTGAGAGCTGTGGGGGTCACTAGGAATGGACGCCTAGTGAAGCTTCTCTGGCGCAATTCGGCGACTAGGGAGGGGGGAGGGTTCGCACTCTTACTACTTCCCATCGACGTGTTGACCTATCTAAACAGCCTCTCATCGAGTTGGCAGTTTTACCATGATGGCTTGACGACCTTGCTCCAGTTCACAAGAGTTCACAGGTTTTGCCAGCGTGAGATTTGTAAACCGGAACTAGGGAAGCAATGATAGTTTGAAAATGACTCCCCTCACCCCGTCTCCGAACTGCGCCGCTTCTCTCCTTTTGAAAGTATAAATTTCTACCACTTTTTCCACGGTCGCAGATTTCAAAAGTTTTCCAGACAAATATTTGCAGAAAATAACTCATCGCTAACGGTCATTTCCTCTCAGAAGATCCAGCGCAATCGTTGGAATCAGAAAAGATGCAGATGAAAAAGTAAGGAAGCTTACAGTTTATAGAAAATTCGGCGCAATTCGGAGCATTTTGCACTTTACTTCCCATCGACGTGTTGAGCCATCAAGTTAAAACCTATGAAAACTTGTGGAGCCACGAAATAGTGGCAG